TTTTCTCTACTCCTAATTAGTTATGCAAATTAGTAAGGCCTGTATTTTTTCCAAGAAAGGTGGCAAATTTAACTACTCTTCACATACTCTTGCTTAAGAATGGAAACTTAAGAGGGATATATGGAAACAAAACTTGTGTAAAATGGCTGAAATGAAATTAGTTAAGGTAATGCTGACTTTGGTCTCTCTAACACTGTAGCATATTCCCTTTCTTCTACACTCACTACACCCACCTTTTCTCTGTCTCAGACTGTGTACCAGGAGCTTCTGCCTGCTGGTAAGGAGACATGTGAGTGCTAGGGGACAGTCTTTAGAAAGCATGAAGCGAGCGCATCATTAGATGCATTTATGCCAAGCTCAGGATGCTGTTGGCCAGCATGCATTTTTTGGCAGGCAGCCTGACATGCATTCATGCCAGGCTAGACTTTCAATTCTTTGAGCAGACACGCCTCCTTTTTGGGCATGTTCGTCCCTTTCGGGAGTTCTGGTTACATGATGCGCGTCAGTGGCCCACCTTTTTACACCGCCCATTGACTTCCAGCTTAACTGGACACTGCTGTTTGGGGGTATGGATTTACTTAAAAGATGAAAGCATGAATTAGAGAGGGATTATCATATTTTAAGATAATCTGAGTTTTCTTATTGCTGCATCTTATGAGCTTCCCTCTGGCAACATCACCACCAGATAAATAACGCTTGAGAGGTATGACTGTTTTAGTGTTTTTGGTCGATAAGATTCTGTACTTAGGCCTCTCATAATTGCCAGCACCAGGCCCACTGGGCTCTTAATCTGGCCCTGCTTATGTGTTAACGCCTGTCACCTTTTATTATTAGTAAATTAAATCAAATTTTATTAGTATCCAAACTTCTTCTCTGATCTCGACAATGCTGATCCAACGACTGTACTATATAGAGAATTTGATTCTAAAAATGTTGTAGTCCGAGTTGCTTGAACGTGATCCCCTTGTTTGTTTTCTCTCAGTAACCTCTGTAGGTTCTACCTTTTTATTTATGTAGGTTGCACCTTGTTATTATATGCTATATTATTCTATATAATTCTCAGTACGTTTGGAGAAATGGAATGTCTAATACCTGCCACCAAGCTACTGAATCATTGTCTATGAAAACTGTTTAATAAAGAATGACAAAAAAATTCCAAACCCAATGTGACAATGTCACACAGGAACAAAAGCAAATGACAGGGTACAATAAAAGCACGACACACACAGTGACCAAAATACACAAACCCATACACATACCCACTCACTGACACATACGTAGTGACCCCCATCTTGCTCTTCCTTATCAAGGCTGGTAAAGCCTGTACCTAACCTGCTGCCTGCACTAGTTGTATATAGCCTGCACAAAGTGTCAGCTGCCAGGATATAATGTCCTAATGTATCCCAACAGTCTCTGGTCCGTACATTGCGAGGAATGGCTGGCTTCCGTCCATTCTTGCACCATATCACCGGCCCAGTGTGTATAGAACAATTTTGCACTGTTCACTCTGATATTTTCCTATGTCCCGGATGGCCAGTCTGTTGCACATCAGACCTCCCGATGCGGCAGCACCCTGGAGACAGATGCACCAGGTGGGAAATGCCCTCCATTCCTCTCCCCCACTTGCTAGACTTCTATTGCTGGATTAATGCAAACCATTGAGATGTCAATAAATGATTCAAGCATTGGGGGGGTATTTAATGGTGAAGAATCCAGTGAGAAATAGCAATTTTTAGGCCTGCTCCTATAAAAATACCCTTTGGTGGCTATGTGAAAAGTTGGAGAGTATATTTTTAAAAGCCCCATGAAATGATAGTGGTGACATGTATTTTGTCTTATCTCTAGGGTTTCGATTTTGCTTTCTTGAGAAGAAGCCGACTTTATGAGGAATGCGGGAATCACACAGGCTTCTCATGGACAACTCAGTATATTGGGGGTAGAAGGCTTGCAGAATGCATACGTAAGTTCAATAACCCCACAATTCAGCACTTCACAGGAAATGTATGAAACTCTTAATTGTACTTAGAATTTATTAATCATGTAATGCCTAGTTCTTTGTGACGCCTATGTACTTCAATATAGTTGTGTATATTAAAAACACTAATATTAGATAATCTTGCACTAATCAATAACAAAATGAAAACAATGGAAAAATGCCATCACCTGTTCCCTGATTGAAGCATGATCAAGTACTTACATGAGGACCTCCATATCTGACACAAAAATATAAAAGTGGTGGAAAATAGCCAAGTAAAACACCAAATTCCTACAGCCACCAATTAACTACTACTACAAATAGCCAAATAGAACAAATAAGGGTCATTTTAGACCAATTTAAAGGCGGAAGAAAATTTACAGGATTCCCTTTATGTTGGTATATTGCGTTCTAAAATATTGTCATGTCGCCCTAGTTTGCATTTTCTAGACACTGTGCTGTTTAATACACCTTTTCTTCTTCACATTCTGTCGTGGGTCTCATTTCCTCAGTATCTGATGCCAGTTGTAAGAAACATAATAAATCAGTAGATACATTATATAAAATAGAGAGTTCAAGTAAAATAAAGCTTAAATCATGTACATCCCAATTCATGAAAAATGGTAGCAGGGCTCATATTTCAAGAGTGAAAGAAAATGATTCTTAGAAAACAATTATCCAAGAGCTTGCCGCTGGATTACTCAAATAATTCTCCCAGAATTTGCCATTGCAAATTTGTATTTTCCTGATCACCGTAATTTGTGTTTTGTTTTCTTTGTGTTACTGGAGTAAAGGAGATTAGCACACATTTAACTATTTTTATTTTGCATTTTCAGCCTCTAATGTTAAAGTAAGTGGGAACACTTCAGCCTATTTTACAGAGAATACATGTGAAGAAATTATCAACGACAACAAAACAAGCAATTATATAGAACAATTTATCAACGAACTGAAATTGAAGGGCATTAAAAAGACACAAAGTAAACATGACTTTGTGCAGTGTAGAGACTAAATCATAAAAATGTTAAAAACAAACAAACAAATACGCTATCTCCTTGCACCACGTCTGTATTAAGTCTGGCTGTGCACATTTCCTAAGGCAGCCCTGAAATTCTGGTATTGGTGGCATTCTTCTGTGAGTCCATCAAGTTCAGCATGCCACACATCTGTTTTTACTGTTGATCGAAAAGAAGGCAAAAAAAAAACAGTTTTACATCAGAGTCAGAGATGTAACAGAAAAGTTTGGATATGTCGTAACATTTCCACACCTCTCTATCTAGTATCCCTGCCTCTTTATTCATGCATAGAGTTCCATCAACATACTGATGTATGCTTCATTATAGTCTTAGGAAATGTCCACAGCAAGGCGAAAACATGATATAATCGAAAATGCTAACGCAATAATAGGTAGTGACCAAAATAGGAAAAGACAAAAAAGAGGAAACTTGAGATGGAGTTAAAGAAAGACAAAGTGTGTTGTGTGTGATAATATGAGAGAGACATTGGGGATGAGAGGGCAATAGAGGCATATTGACAAAATGGGGGTGTGGGGAGTGGACACACGATGGTCTGAAGGTAGATATGAAGCAGAGAGAGAATGTGGTGGAGGGAAACGGGGAGAGAAACAGGATTGGGGTTAAAGTAGATGTAAAGGATAATTTGTAGGGTTGAGGTTTGGAAACACGTGGGGAGAGATCACTGATTTGTGGTCAAGTAGTAGTTTGTGAAGCTAGCAACTCTCCAGACTCCAAATATGTTGCTTACTAAAAATATATATTCTAGAAAACAATGTAATATAATGACATGAAATAATTCAGTCTGCATTTTGCTGTCATTAAATCTGAAAATAAAATAAATGGAAGCAAGCACAGAGAAGATTCATTTATTGCAGATAATGTGTTAATAAAAATAATGTAAACTGATTCATTTGCCAGGACTCTGTATAATCTTTAATCAAATAATTGCAATAGCACTTAGTTTCCTGAAAGGGCAGTAATACATCTTAGCTATGATTAGTAACTAGCTTTACGCATGAAGGATAGCATTGTGCTGATTTGTTATTCATCTTCATTAACCAATGCTTTCAATACATGTTGAGAGCCTCTGAGGACTTGCCATTTTAATAATCCTCAATCATCTGCATGAATAAATATCAAACTCTTTTTAGAATTCCCAATGTTTATTTTAGCCACCTAGGGTGACCAGGTAATGGTTTGATTCTAGTCAAGCCTTTATTTACGCTTTTACAAATATTTATCCATAGTTAAAATGTTGCCAGATCACACTTTGGTGGCAGATATAGAGACAGAATGGAAATTAAATAAAGATATAATTACATAGTTGCATAGGCTGAAAAGAGACACGTGTCCATCAAGTTCAGCATGTCACACATCTGTTTTTACTGTTGATCGAAAAGAAGGCAAAAAACCCCAGTTTTAAACACTTCCAATCATGTAACAAATGAGGAAAAATTCTCTTCTGGACCAAAGAATGGCAGTCAGATTTCTCCTTGAAAAAAAAAAAAGCTGTTATGCCACCTCTTAAAAATGATATCCCTGAATATTGCAAGTATTAATCCAATTGCGGTATAAATATCTGTACAAACTCTGATAAAACCACCTCTTCAGGTAAAGAATTCCACATCCTTATTGTTCTTTCTTCAATTGTAACTGTGTGACCTTGTGTTCTACGTCAAGGTGTGTGTATGGGTCAGTGTGTGCATCTTTCTGTCTGTGCATGTATGTGTCAGTTTTTGTATCCTCAAAATACAACACTACATCCAAACACACCTCTGCATGCAAATGCAATCATTACATAAAACACACTCACTGTATTAAGATACTAAAATTATATACAATCACCAACTCTACAAACAAAAGCACACCTGTATTTAAAAGCCAACACTGCATAGAAGCACACCAATGCATTCAAAACACACACTACACACAAGTACACCGCTACATTCCAATGGCAACAGTACACACATTTACACTCCTACAGGCACACACATACTCTATGCAGCTAGATGGGGACCCAACATTTTTTTTTTTTGCACCAGGGCCCTATCTACATTAGTTCCACCACTGCAATAATCTGTCTATTCTGTCAGCAACATGCCAGACCTGCAAACTATCCAGCTGAGATAATCAGAGGAGCAGATCACCCAGTCTTCTCGCCTAATAATAGAGTCCTCTACCATCACAGCCAGTATAGCCCTTCTTACATTCCCAATCCTCCTGGCTGTACTAAAGGAGCTGTTCCCCAGCTGATAGAAGGAACAGCTTCCTCCAGTGCAGCTATTCTTGAGCTGATGCTCGCAACATCTTTACTCGAACAAGCAATCTGTTAGGCTGCAGGAATAGCCATACCTTTCCTCTTCCCATCCCCCTGCTACCACATGTAACTGACAACCAATTAACTGCTTGTTCCCCATCTTTGACTTTGGGTTTTATTTGTGTTCCTCCTATTTATGGCTCCCACTATATTTTGCATCATCGGCTAAATCCTCCTTAATGCAAATCACCCTCTTATTTGCAGACAAGGTCCATATTTACAACCTATCCTCTCCTTCCCATCTTACAGAATTCCCTCCCTTTTCAACAAGATATGTGTTTTAAGCCCCTTTAACTTGTTGGTTTGCTTAAGGACTAGTGATCCAGAAGGAATGGAGTACCTCATCTACGTCTACTCTGTAGGCTTCTCTGGAGACTTCGTATAAATAATATCATGATTGCCCCCTCCATACAGTAAGGGTATTGAAATTACAATTACAATTATTTATATAGTGCCAACATATTCCACAGTACTGTACAATGGTAAACAAAACAAACACTATATTATAACAAAACATGTTTGACATCCTTTAACAGTAGGTGAAGTGGACCCGGCCCTGGTAATGAGGTGTAAGCAAAGGTATATATGTAAAACCATAAAATAAAACAATACAAATTTATATCAACAATGATAAAACCATCCCAGATAACAAGTAATATTTTTATATTTTTAAAATTGTATTTATTTTTTTATTACTCACACACACCGCGGTACAGGAGCTGCAGTTTTTAGTACCCGGCCAGACTGACAGGAAGTTCTCACTGAGAGAGCACTTCCTTTCAGTCCGGCCGGGTACAGGAAGCTGCTGTACTATGGTCCGGGCCGCCTGGCCACGCTACACTGAGTGACAAATAGGAGGGAGCGCTGTGCGCTTCCCTCCTACTGGGTCACTCAAATCTGGTGACCCCCGGCCCAGTGCTCCCTAGGCAACTGCCTACGTTGCCTATAGGACGCGCCAGCCCTGTGTACACTGATGAAATGAAAACAAAGACACAGAAAACACAATATACAAAAAGAAACATGATTTGTCTTCATTCTTTTATTTGGATGTTTCTTTACTCATTGTTTCTGTCTTATGGTATTTCATCAATTATTTGTTTGTAGTGCTCTGCACGTAGTGAAGAATTGACCAAAGTTTAAAAATATTGTCAGTTTTAGAGAAAAAGTGTTTAATTGAAATATTATCGGCATTCAATACGTTTTCAGTCTTCCAGCTCTGTAGAATCGTATAATTTCTTTTAAGGCACTGTATATAATTAATCTTTTTGATAGAACACCAGGGGTTTTCCACATTTTGAGTTTTTATCTCCGTATAATTCAAAACCTTTTTGAAGTTGTTTTTCATACTCAGACAGTTCCCGCTATGGAGATTTCAGGCAAACGTTTCATTCTCCATATTATAACAATTCCTGCTGGCAACAGCATTAGGGTGCTCATTACAACCCATGTGCCAAATATTACAAGTAAAATTGCCCATATTTCCAGAACATTTCCCATCTTTGATATCAGGTTTTTTTAGTGACCTGCATTGAAAAAAAAAGATATATTGAGGCACATCGTTATAATACTGATAATATTTAACATTTTATAATTTTATTTTTTTTAAAAGGACAGAAAATCATTTATTTGTAAAATGATCATTACTCATGAACCTTTGGCTATGAATGAAAAAAAAGAGTATTTTAATATCAGCATTCAGAAACTGACTACATTGCTTTAGGTGAATGAACGCAGACAGGCATTGTGTTTCATATACGGCAGATATATGCAGATAAATCACAATGGTAATTTTTCTAATGTGTTTGGAGTTTTATCATGTTTAGTGTAATCAAAACATATTTAAGTGCTTAGTTTCTGCAACTCTTATCATACTTGTAATATTCACAGTATATTAAATAAAAAAAATGTGACGTCAAAATAGCACTGTAAAAAATATAAAGACAATAGTGATAAAAAAATTACATTGAGAAAAATACAAATAAAAAAATGAAGAAAAAAATAAAATTCATGAAATTTTAATTGCAATGATGTGAAATAATCCACTGAATAATATGCCATCTAATATGCCTCTAAGGAAGGATCACTGAAACTAGTTAAAATGGATAATAAGCATCACTGAGAGAATATTTTTGACTTTATAAATCAGAACTTAAAAAAAAAATTTTTTTCTTTTTTTTTATCAATTTATCAATAAGATTCCACATAAATCATAATATTATCTTTATGCAATGTAAAGCAATACTCTTTGTTCTTTCTACCTTAATATCTGCCCTCAAGTTAACAAAATATAAGTCAATATAATCACACATGCAGTATTACCGGCTATTATATAAATACAAAAACAAATGCACACGTTACTTTAAAATGTTGATGTAATGCAAGCATGTCAAACTCGCAGCCTGCGTGCTGAATGGGGCCCACAAAGAATGTCTTTGCGGCTCAGCCAATCAGGGGGGTGCAACAATCATTTGTCAAACTGACAAGTGATTTTTGCATCGTCCTCGGCCTGTGCTTCCTGTGCCGCCAGGCAGCATTTGGCTCCATAAAGAAACCTCACGCACAGAACACTGGGGGGAGTACCACCCCCACCCACTCTGCATAGGAGCGCAGGGTGTCACGTGACTACCCGTCACTCAGTATGACAACGTACGCCATCTATCAACAAGGCAGCGCCAAACCTGTGCTTCCATCACCTCTGGTGCCAGCTCTGTGAAAAACAGCTGCCTACCAGAGCAGGAGGAGGGAGATATAAATGGAAGTTGTAGGAAGGGAGACATGCGTGAGGGAGACAGGGATGGAAGAGCGATAGGGAGATTTGAATGTGAGGGGATATATGAATTGAAGGGTGGGGGAGAGAGATATAGATGGGGTGGAGAGAGAGACTTGGATGGAATGGGGGGAGAGAGACTTGGATGGAATGGGTGGGGTAGACTTAGATGAAAGGGGGATTGAGACATTGGGGTTAGATATGGAAGGGAGAGCCAAGGAAAGGAGGGAGAGACGTGGAGGAGAGATATGGAAAGGAAATAGAGATGTGGGGGAGAGGTATGGAAGGGAGAGAGAGATGTGGGGGGAGAGCTATGGAAGGGAGGGAGAGATGTGGGGGAGAGATATGGAAGGGAGGGAGAGATATGGGGGAGAGATATGGGAGGGAGAGATATGGAAGGGAGGGAGAGATGGAGGGAAGCAGGCATGGATGGAAGGGAGGAGAACAGAGACATGGATGGAAAGGAGGGGAACAGAGATATGGATGGAAGGAGGATAGAAGCAAGCGGAATGGAGTGTGCAGCCACACATTACTCTGCCTGGAGATTGCAGAGGGACTGAGGGAGCGAGCGAAGTGGACATGCCAGACGGTGGCACTATTACAAAGATAGTAAGTAACTTGAGGTGAAGCTTTTGAATTATATATATATGTACCCAGGATTACATACTGTTTAAATGAGAACTATACATGTAATTTTAGTTTGTCTTTGTCTAGGTCGAACTTTTTTTCATTTTTTGTGGCCCACATAAACTTAAACCTTGTTTTTTTGTCCCGAGTTAGCCTTTGAGTTTGACATGCTTAATGTAAGGGATTTCACAGATTAAAATGGAATCTGTTTACAAGAGAAAATAAGTATCGCTGGTAAGCAAAAAAACAAGTTTTGATCTCAACAGATAACAGACTGTATGTAGCACTAGGTTAAGGGGAATTAGAAAAAACACCAAATAAAACTCAGAAACATATTTTTTCTATTTCTCCAAGATTATGAAATGTTGTATTGTAGTTTTAATAAATGAATTTCCTGTTATCTCTTTTAAAGACGTGATCATTCTAAATGGTTTATTATTTATTCACTTAAACGTAAATTAAACATAAAATAAATAATGACATACATGGTACCCCCAAAGTTACCAAGTTAACCTGGATTTTACAGTATACCCAGCAGAGCAGTCATAGCAAACGTGTCATACACTGAATTGGCCACTTTTTAAACAGGTATATCACAATATACGTGAATTTCATGTACACTGATCAGTCACAACATTAAAACCACTGACAGGTAAAGTGTATAACATTGATTATATCCTTACAATGGCACGTGTCATGGGGTGGGATATATTAGGCAGCAAGTGAACAGTCAGTTCTTGAATTTCATGAGCTAAAAGCAAGCGAAAAGACTGGGTCAGAGCATCTCCAAAACAGCAAGTCTTGTGTGCATGTTCCCAACATGCCGTGGTTAGTAACTACCAAAAGTGGTGGAAGGAAGGGCAAACAGTGAACTGGTGTTAGGGTCATGGGCGCTCAAGGTTCATTGATGTTCCTAAGGAGCTACTGTAACTGAAACTGCTAAAAACTTAAAGGAACACTGTAACATTAGAAATAGATATCTGTATTCCTAACGGTACAACCCTGATTCCCCTAATCAATTAGGTTGCACACCCCGTATAAAAGAAAACAATTACATAAAAATAAAACAATTTACTCACTTTTTATCCAGAGAAAAAAAGCCAGACACAAGAATACCAGGACCCAAGATTTGCCAGCAAAACATTGCCTAACCCTAGAGCATAACACTGTCACTGCCGACCTTCTTTCCATAGTGCATCCTGCTGCCATATCTTCCCAAGGTAAACAATACACGCACCTGGCAATCCACCTGATCTAAAAGAAAACATGATTCATCAGACCAGGCAACCTTATTCCATTCCTCGATGATCCGTTCTGAAGCTCACCTATTCCATGAAGTAACTTTCAGCGGTTGACAGGGGTCATCAGCTGGTGTGCACAATAACAGTTCTGGCTCCTTTCTATCACGGCCAGCATTAGGTTACTTGAATAAATTACTAGCAGTACATCTTATCAAAGGTAGCAACAGATTGTAAAATAATGTATAAATATAGTTAAATCATCTATTCCTAAAATAAAGGTATTTAAAAACTGCTATAGCAATCTCTATCACACTGGAATTCTAATATAATTGCTACCAGTGATATGGCAGAGCTCATTCAGTCAATGGCACCATCTACTGAAACGTCCTATACTATTTGGAAGGAGAGGGTGAGTTGACATTTTCAGCCCATATTAAAAGGAATCCATGTTTAAAATGGAATGAGGCAAAAATGTGATTCTTTGTTAAACTAATTTGCATATGCCCACCCAGAATCCTTTGCGGGTGTAACATCACTGCTGATTTGGGATTTCTGTGGGAAAAGCAAGTCTTATGGCTTGACTGGTGTGCAGATTTTTGTTTAGCATTGTATTAACTACCTATATATATATATATATATACATATATATATATAGATACGATACCAGTAGAGAGCACTCAGGAGTCTTTTAAGGTAAATTTCATCTGTTGCTTTATTGAGCAATTACAAATTCACACAACGTTTCAGTCGACGTTTCAGTCTGTAAAAGACTTTAAAAAAAAAAAAAAAAAGACTTGAAAAAAGTCTTTTACAGACTGAAACGTCGACTGGAACGTTGTGTGAATTTGTAATTGCTCAATAAAGCAACAGATAAAATTTACCTTGAAAGACTCCTGAGTGCTCTCTACTGGTATCGTATACAATTTGGTTGGAGACAGCACCGGAGCATTAAAAGACTGGGAGCATTGAGTGCTGGGACCTGGGACGTATATATATATATATATATATATATATATATATATATATATATATATATATACATATTTATGTATTTGAAGTCTATGTGTATATTTATTAAATTATTTATGTAATTATCTATATGGATATATATATATATATATATATATATATAAATATGTATTTCGTATTATTTATATTTATGGATATATACATAGATATACATATATATATATAATTTCATTCTAAGTGTATTTTCTTATAAATATAAATATATATATATAGTGAGTAGTGAGATATCTTCCAGGAAATGTCTAATATTTCCCATGAACCTTTGCATAGTTTTCTTATTCACTTCACAATTATTTTTACAAATATATCGTGTATGCACAATCAAAGTTTTCACTCATTTGAAGGAGAAATAACTGAGCATGTGTGGTGTCCTTCTCTCTAATAGGCCCTTCCCTTCTCTCTACACTATAAGGGCACACTCCATTGGAGAGAGAAGAATAACACTGAACTACTAACAGTTTACAGAGGTTATTCTATACACCGGTCTTGTTAAATTCAGGACATACAAACAGTTTGTTTTACTTGTACCATACACTGGCTTTCTGTTCATTCGTTTGAACTGGCTGGCTTTCTGTACATTCGTTTTAACCGGTTCATTCATTTAAATCCTGACGAACGAGGTCTCAGGTCTAAATTTAATGTTACCCTTAAATGGCCTTCATATGAAACTCCCGAACAGGGGTCAACCCACTTGTACGCAGATTCATTCGCTTAGACTACACAAAGCCTGACGACAAGGCTTTCGTGCACACATTCACAAAGATAGCATTACGGCTAAACAGCATGCTACATACTGACCCCAGCCAGTCTCTCTCAGTACAAGATTTGTTAAAGAACCTTTGTTCGCACAGACGCTCGCAACTCACCAGGTAATCGTCGAGAATAGCCACGTTCGGGCTATTCCCGCCGTCGACCTACTTTCTCCTTAACTATACATACGAACATATGAGACAAATATTTTTTAGTTTATTTGAACACCAATTAATTTCTTCCATTTTTTTTTTTCTCTCCCCTATTTTACAGCTGTCCTCACTTGTTGGTATTATTCATATGTTCCATGTTCTATGCAAGCTTAGATCTGGGGGTAAAGTTACTGCCAAAAGTACATACTGATTTTGCTCATTATTTTATTTTCTCTTTATAGTTTCACTTCTACCTGTCCTGCTTGTATACACTGAGGTCGAGATTTATTCTGCTGATTATACCGTTGGTGCCAGGTGTTAACAGGAGGAGTTAAATTAAACAAACCTCAAATCCCAGACTCTTAATGCTCAGTTCAGCAGTAATTAATATCACAGTAATACTGCCTATATTTTCAATTCGGTAGATTATCCGTTCTCTCATTAATTCGGATAAATTGCTGCAAACTAGAGCATTAACCTCCTAGCTGCCATTCATTTAACCCTTTACTGGGCATGAATAACCAAATGCCTGAAGCCTCGTCTTGGAGCTGCTTGCTAATTACAGATCACTGGGTGCCTTATTGGGTATCTGAAAGTTAAATGGTTCCTCTACATAATACAATTATAAAATCCACTAAGTATGTGACATAATGCAATTACTATGTTGGCTGGAGAGCATTCCTTTTTAAATTTGCTTAATATCACGTCCAGTTTTCAGGTTGTTAAAGGTGTATCTACAATTGGTGCATCCCAGTGACTCTACTCAATGTCTGACATTGCACTGTATATTGATTGTTCAAATATATTATTTTTCATATCATCTTAGTGATATTTTGCATAGGAACAATACTACTTCTAACTCCTGGCACACAAGTTCCTTTCCTCCTTTTCTGCTACCTCAATTACAGATTTCGCAAAGGCATTTACTACAACCCGGTCATTACTCCCATAGGTTCCGTGCTTTTCAGGTACTAATCTATCCTAATTCATGTTTCTATTTACTGCCTGAAAGACCATGCATCATTATAAGGGGTTCTTAACATATAGGGGGCTTGATTTCTCGCCTTGCCTTGTCAGGCCACGGCTCCACACAACTACTCGTCATGCGGTACCAACATCTCGGTATCTCGCTATAACCATCCTAGACTCCCTTAACTCCTTTTTATTTCTTCACCATTGTCATCCATTAAATCCTACCACGCTTTAGCACAATATCTTCAAGGATAACCTTATAGGGGAATTTAATGACTATCCTTAGTCTCTTCAGCACACTCAGGACCTATGATTATAATTCTATTGGCAATATCACTGAATTCACTAAATAGATATTAGCTACTATCTTTTACTAGTACAACCAACTGTGTTGCCCTTCTACATGTCAGCGTAATCTGATACTGTTTAGAAGCCACTTATATTTTAGGGTTGTCCTTTCCTTTTTTAAACTGCACCTTGATTTCAGGTCCAAGACAGCATTCTATCACCAGTCAATTAGTGGCTCGTTTTATCTACAGGTTTCAATCAGGTACAAATACTTTTCGTTCATTTACTGCCTCATCAAGGACACAAATTTACACGTTGGGGTATTGGGGAACAGGGGATTGATTTTCCGCCTTGTCTCGCCAGGCCACGGCTCTACTCGATAACTCGCTATACGTTTACTTAAACTCGCTATCTATGGACAGTCGTCCTGTTTCATACAAGCCTCACTCTTATCACCCTCCTCTCCCCTTCTGACGCTTTTCTTGGCACAACGCCTTCCTGAAAATCTCCCTTCAGGGTTATATAGATGCTATCCTGAGTTTCTTCAGTACCCTGAGGGTCTATGGTTACTATGCTATTATCCACATCTCCAACAACTACACTGGGTTGCTCATACTTTTCTCCCTCTTCTATCCCACGTCCACAGTTCCTCCTCTTCTTCTTATCTCTTTTTTTTTTCCTCCCTGTAATATGAACCTCACGGTTCCTATCAACCTCGACTCAGTATGCTCAATACGTTACGTTCCACCCTCATCAAGCCCCCGTCTAGGGTTAGAGAACTGGCTGTTTAGGGTTAGGTTGCTGGCCTTATTTGTACTATGGATCTGGTCCCGCAAGGCCAACTCCCCAATCTCAACACAGAGATTTTGCCCCTCGGCCCAAATCATAGTTAGAGCCTCGCATTAGCCCACCTATCGGAGTCATAGCTAGGGCCTCACCTGACACGGCCACAGATATTTGTATCTTGTACTGTCATTGAGAGGTCAACACCCCGCCACCACGCTAGTGGCACGAGCCCCACGCCCAAATCATAGGTAGAGCCTCTCACCAGCCGCTTGGCAACTAGCAGGGCCTCACCTGTCACGGGGTAGAGAGCTTTTCGCTTCGACACTAGTTAGCCAGCAAGTTCTACGCTTATTCAACTGTTTTGTTATTAATCAATTCTTTGTTGTTGTGATATTCTTTTTTAGCATGTCCCAGGAAGGTAATATGGGAGATGAGCCATTCCTCCCTTGTACGACTACTGAACCGAACCCGGAGGATTTTGTGTTGGGGATCGACTCACAAGGAGAAATTTCTGCCATAATAGGAAGTCTAAACACCATTCTGGCCAATCTTCAGTCCATCAACGATAGACTATCCATCTTAGAGCAGCCTGGCTCGTATAGGCCCTCCACACACGCTCATTCCCTCAACCACGCAGAGTTGACCCCCCGCATCACCTTTCACACCCCCTTACGATCTGGGTACTCACCTGCTTATTTGCAATAATTTTAACTCGGGCATATGTAGGTCTGCCAAATGTGGGTTACTTTACGTATGTGCTATATGCCTCTGGACTTATGTCAAGACCATCTGCCCATACATGTTATATCGAAGATCATGAGTTCAGAACTTTCAGCTTTAACGTTGTTGGGGGTCATGTCCGTCCGGCACTTGGTGGTATATTCATTACAAAGGTTCTACACTAGCTGGGGTTCACTCTTACTGTGCACCCAAAATGTCCATATCTCCTCAGCTAATCACGTATTATTTAATGTGCGCCACCAGTTATACTAATAAACATCGCCTCAGCAGAACTGAGTCTTGCAGCTCAAAAGCCTTATGATGAGGTAACATCTCCTCTAACTCCTTTTAAATCGTCAAATTACAAACATCCAACCAAAACATTTAAATCTTACGCCCACCTTCTCTTCTTTTCTATGC